AATAGAGTTCATCAGGGTAATCTATATTTATCTAAGCTTGTCCTTTAACATTTGTTTGGAGAAGTGTCATTGCTTCTTTTTAATATACGAGAACTGTCTGGTGTAAACTTGAGATTAAATATTTGCTGTAGGCCGGGATAGCCTGGTAGGTAGGGCTTTGGGCCGATGTCCTAATTAAAATTCTTATTTCCACACATTTAGTAAAAATTTAAACGAAATTAAAGAACAAATTTAACCGATTAAATGAGGTTTTTTCCCCATGCTAAGGTATCATGATAAAATTATGAAATTTTATTCCATTTAACAAATTTTACACAAACATTATCAAATCATATCTTATTGGTAATTTTACCAAAATCCTAACCAATGCTCTTCCTTAAAATTTACTGAATTTTTTGGTGCTTCCATAGAGTCAGAAAGACAGTAAATTTTACCATATTCTGGTAGTTTCGACCTCACTGTTTTCTTAGTGTACAAAGGAGATTCTCAAAACTTTACCTAAACACCTGGGAAAAGAAGCATTCGTTGCAATCATACTAAATGGAAAGACACACCTAAATATACTAGGCGTGTCTTAAACACGTCCAGATGCCGCTAGAGACACCTATGTTTCGTACGAAACATTATTCGAGCATTTATATTGTTCGTAAATATGTTACAAGTGTAACTGCACATTTATTGTTTTTGTATGTTACGTATGATTCGCAACCCACTCTAAGGACTCTATCCGGATAAGGTTAAAGATTTTATGATTCTGCGAAATTTTTTATTATCTTTGTATGTCTATTTCGCCCTCTCATTTTGCTTGCGTTAAAATGTATAGTTGTTGTTGTTTCTATTGACACTCTGACAAGCCAAGCTTGCCAGCCATTAGCTTTTTTGCTAAGTCAGGAAGATGCGCTTTTTGTTTAACAAGAGATCGGTATAGGAAAATTCGCTTTAACCCAGTATCCCACAGATAGATGGCAGCACCACTCTTCCTGAGGCCACTTCCTTAATTTAGACATAGATCTGAAGGTTGAGGAGATTTCCTCCAGATCCCTGAACCCATGGTACAGCTCAGAGACAGACCACATGACTCTCGATTCCACAGCTTTTACGAGCGAGTATCGAACCTCGATCCCTTTGGACTGAAATCCGATTCTCCAACCAATAGGCTACCACAGCGCAATATGCATTAGTAATTTACCGATTTCAAAAAAGTAATTTGAAAATATGGTTGTATTCATTTTTATTTATTGAGGCATTAATTTATTGTAAATATTTCACTATTTTACAGTTAAGTATATTATTCAATGTTATCAATAAAAAATCAATGAGACCAAAATCCAAGATAGAGAATTATTATTTCTCGTGGAGGGATTTCATTTTAACATTTTTTGCTTCATATACACGGTTTTAGAAAAAAAAAAGGAACATACGACTTCACTTTCAAAGATATTTTTCTGTGCCTGTCTCAATTCTGCATGCGTCATGAAAAACTGTTTAGAGAAGCTTCCTTTTAGATGCAAATGAGTGTTTTTAATTTTCTGAGTGTTAAGAACTCTAAGCTTGAGTAAGATGTTGAAAAAATTTCCTTCAAATAAAAAATCACAAACCGTGAAATTGCAGTCACATGAAGGTTAAAATTTGAAAATGCGCACATAAAAAGACATTAAATAGAAATGCAAATTTTATGATGCGTTTCTACAAACTGGAGCAAAAATGTAAAAGGTTTTTGATAGAATAATGTTTATCCTAAAAAGAAATTTAAAATATTTTACTTTATTACGCGTTTGAAATGCGAACCACATTTCATATTACCGGTAAAAACTAACTCTTCTTATTCCTCAATTTCTAAAAAAATATAAATGGTGCTATATAGTTGTAATTTCTTAATAAGTGCTATTACTATTAATCGTATCTCTCCTAAACTAACATAATTTGATAAACATAAAATATAGTAATGATAGTAATAAAATGTAGTGATTGTTTTTCATAATAAAATTTTTTAGATGCTCAGTTTTAATCAACCAAGATTGTTTTTTTAATAATTGACTTAAAATCACTTGATAATTCTAATTAAATAAATATTACTGTAAAAATTATGGTTTAATAATTTAAGGTAAAAAGGGATTTTACGGATGATGCACTCTAAATTATAGTAAGAAAAATAAAAATAAATAAATTATGATTTAAGCATATTCTTGATCTGATAAGTAGATTTTTTTTAATAGTTATCTTATTAGATATAGCAAATTTTAAGATATATAACAATTAGTTCAGTTGTTGTAGTTGTTGTCTTATGCCACTTGTCAATGCTGACATGCCTAAAGGCAGAGGGTAGAGCTCTTTTTTGTTTTCCAGTGGAGCAATCCAAGGCGAAGAATTCGACTTTTGCCACACACATACGTCACAACTCGTTTTACATGTAGGGTGAATTCGCAAACCATTCATCCATCCGCAGATCGCAATTTTGACCTGAATCAGAGCATGATCGATCTCGATCCGGTATCCCCAGAGGTATTGATTTATTATTGAAATTTAAAGGACTTTGTGAACCCAACAGATTAAGCGAGCACCAGTCACCATTTTGGACACGTTTTGCTGTAATCTTGTTTTGTGTCTTCGGCAGGACTCACTCATTCCCTCTCACGACCTATAGGTGTACCTACGCCCTACCAACCAGGCTATACTGGCCTAATTAATTTAGTTATACGATACGATCTCAAAGTGTGGCTCTAATTTCACTAAAAATAGTTAGTTTACTTGTTAAAAAATATTATTTTTATCAAACAATATAAAAATTATTTCTTTGGCATTAAAATTGCAAGTTCTCAAAATAATAATTTTAAGTGTGTCACATTAAAATTATTCTTTTGAGTGTCTCGTAAGGTCCATCATAAGAGTGAACAGTAAAACTTAAAGGATTTAAATCCATTATTGCTTGCAGCATTATCTTATATATGAAGATATTCTCAATTTAATTGCATAGTATTTTAGGAGTAACAGCAAAATTCCCCGGTCTTTATTTTATCTCAATCGCTACCTTTATATTCGTTGATTACTTATTAACTATTTAAGTTTAAACTATTTATTATTTACTGCTTAATCATCTTAGTAATTGAAAAAAAGACTTAGTCAAATTAAACTTACCTTGAGCAGGTTTTAAATTATTGTCTTAAATAAATCTGGCTCGTCAGTACCAGCTACATAACCTAAGCTCTTAACATGATCATTTCAACACCATCATTTTTGTCTGATATCAATACGGATGTGGGAAAAATTGATTTTTTCATTTAAATGTACACAGTTTTAATTGTACATTATAATATTTTAAACCATTTTCTTATGTTCTAAATACAATCACCGATTAACAAAATTCACTCCCGATCACGCAAAAGTGTAAAATAATCACTAGTGTAGCATCTCGGCTGGCACGAGATCAGTAGCGAGAGCTTTAAATCGATTTTATTTTCGTCTGTATTAATGTTTCGATCAGTTAATGGATTTTCATCACACATTTTTGTCCCACTTCTTATTTAAAAGTTGCAAAACAACATTATTGTAATTTTATAAATACTTTGTCAATGGGGAGCTACAGAGAGGTGAGTATGTGTGGAAGAATGAAGCACTAATAAAAATGCAGCTATGCAAACAGAACTAAAGTGCTGCTGCAAGTAATTCATAAACGCAGACTAGTTGTACAAAAATGATAGCTTAGTTTTGTTTCATGCAGAAGTTAGAAAATATTGATAACTTTCAAAGTGCTTGTCTCCTTTTTAACATTGTGCAACTTTTCCAATTGATTCTGCTTCATTTTTAATTTTAAGGAGAATCGGTAGGGCATATACCAACACTGCTAAAACTTTTTTGATGTACCTTTTCTTAGCATATAAGCAAGATATTGCTCCAGTTTTGTTTCTCAGAATAGTTACAAATACATTTTCATACTGTGATAACTGTTAATACATATCCTTGGCTGATTATTTTTTTAAAATTTATTAACTGAAAACTTTTAATTTTTTAAAAAATTTCAAAGTTTTTCCAAAAGTTCATTTCATTATTTCTGAGCAAAAATCCTTCATAACTCAAAACTCAAAAAGTATTCGTGTTAACGTTAACATACAACTGATATAATCTCGCAGCATACAACTGATATAATCTCAAGCATCCGCAAAAAATTTCAAGGTGATATAAGAAATATCTTATAAGAGGTACATCGACAAAAAGGACAGTTTTAGCATTATTGATATCTGACCTACCGACTCCCCAAGTATCTTATATTTTAAGATCCATTAATAATTCCCTATAACATACAACACTTGTTTATGACTATAAAATTTAAGTGGGCGTGGTCAATGATAAGATTAAACAAGTTAGGGATGAACTCCCCCTAACAATTCAAGCTTATTAAAAATTGCAGATTTGATATTAATGACTGACAGGGCCATACTGACTGTGCGGAGGGGTGGCGTAAAAATGAAGAGAGCGTTTTGTAAAATAGGAGTTTATTTGCGTTTCCCTTTCGGGAGTAGAGCGTAGACTGTAATGGCGTACAAACATAAACTACTTGCCAAGATGGCGTATTTACAGTGTGCCAAGTGGAGATGCTCCGTCGCCAAGAGCGTAGCTTACAAATACGGAACATCCCGCCCGGCGTTGAAATATGCATATGTTTCAATAAGAAAATATATATATATATATAAAGTTACGTCACTATTCTTACAAATGAAAGTAAAAGAAATAAAACAACTAAATAATCATTCAATTAGTAAATGAATACAATCAGTGTAATAATTAAACAGGTACAAATGAACATTTCAATTCAACTCAAAATTATCTACAATAGGCAAAATGCAAATTTTTGAAATTGGCCTTCGAAAATTTCCTTTCGCTGTGCGAATATCTGCAACTCTAACGTTGCCATCTGAACCTGAAATTACTCTAATGATTCGACCTAAAGGCCACTGATAGGTTGGAAGTTGGATGTCCTTCACAAGAACTAGCATGCCAGGACATTAATTTTGCTTTTTGAGCAGCCACTTTGAGCGTTGTTGCCAATGGCTCAAATAACTGTTTTGCCAATGTCTCCAAATAGTTTGAACTATTTTTTGAACCCTTTGCCATCTATTTAGAAGATTGTCTCTTTTGTCGATGAAGTTAGGTTCTGGTATCGAATTTATAGGTTTTCCTATAAGGAAATGACCCGGTGTTAAAACTTGAAATTCGTCAGTATCAGTTGGTAGAGAAGTGAGAGGTCGCGAATTGAGGATACCCTCTATTTGAGTGATTACTGTCAAAAACTCTTCAAGCGTTAGTCTTGCGAAGCCTACCACTCTCTTGAAAGGGTATTTAAAAGATTTCACTCCTGCATCCCAAAGATCGCCAGGAGCCCTAGGAGGCAAAAATTTCCATCTGATGCCTTCGGAGGAAAGCATATTCGAAACGTCTTCGCTGCTTAACATTAGTTTGTATAAGCGTTTAAGTTCTGCGGAAGCACCTGTAAAATTAGTCGCGTTGTCGCTAAAAACCAGGGAGCTTCTGCCACGACGCGCAAAAAATCTTTTTAAGGTTGCGATTAGAGCTTCGGACGTTAAATCCGAGACAAACTCTATATGTACAGCTTTGGTCGCCATACATATAAATAAAGCAACATATATTTTTCGAAGAGTACCCTTTCTCTGTCCCTTGTATTTAATTTCGAACGGTCCACATAAATCAATTCCTGCATTTAAAAATGCTGAACTAGATGTAACTCTTTCTGCAGAAAGGTCCCCCATATTTGATTTGCGACAACTGGCTTGTTTCTGAAGCATTCGACACACTCGTGAGCGACTTTGCGTGCTGCATTCCTGCCACCAATGGGCCAATATTTTAAACGTACAGTATTTAGAAGGGCTTGAGGGCCTACATGGAAATCTCGTTTATGATAGTACTGAAATATGAGTTTAACTAATTTATTTCCTGCCGGAAGAATGACTGGATGTTTCTGATTAAACTTTAAATTAGAATGCGCAAGTCTGCCCCCTACCCTAATTAGGCCATCGGATGGATCTATGAAGGGATAAAGAAATTTTAACTTACTGGTAGAGGGAACTGGCGATCGTTTTTCTAAAGCAGAGATCTCAGAAGAAAAATATTTTGCCTGTACAATTTTTAAGAGCACATTTTCCGCGTTCATGTATTCCTCTTGTGCGAGGAATCCTCTTACCCATTCAGGAAATTTGCAGTTATGGGCAAACCTAAAAATAAATACTAGAATTCGGATTAATTTTTGAAAATCATTAGTGATAACTAGAAAATCATCTAAAAATTTAGACTTATTAATTAAAGTCAAAGTTATTTTGGAAACTGGCTTCAACTCATCCATATAAAGTTTGTCGGCTGAGCCACTGGAAATTTGCACACTCTGAAGATCAGGTAAGTTTAATTTCGAAAAGTCTGGTCCTTTAAACCATAGTTCACTGGCTGCAAGGGCCTTAACATCAAGTTCTCGGGAAATCTAGTCTGCGGGGTTAAGCTCTGATGGAATATGTTTCCATTGGAAATCTTTGGATAGTTGCTGAATTTGAGACACTCGGTTGCTTACAAATATTTTGAGCAAATTAGAAGGAGAATTTATCCATGCTAGGGCTATCGCTGAATCTGAATATAATATAACTGAGTGTATTTCGAGTCTTACTGCAGCTATGACCCTTTGTGTAAGTTTTGAGAGGAGTAGACAGGAGCAAAGCTCAAGTCTAGGGATTGTCATGGATTTGGTTGGTGCAACCCGCGATTTACTACAAAGAAGTTGGGTAGTTACTTCATTGGAGTTAGATGCATTTTGTATGTAAATTACTGATCCATAAGCCTTTGAAGATGCGTCTGCAAATCCGTGTAACACTACGAACCTTGCACTAACTTCCAAGAAACATCTGGGAAAATGAATGGATTCGATATCTGGTAGAGTTTTGATGAAGTTTTCCCATTGTTTGGACACATCTGGAGGTAGTGTTTCGTTCCAGTCCAATTGAAGCAACCACAATTGCTGCATAAGTATTTTAGCTTTGGCAATGACAGGTCCTAGGAGTCCTAGTGGGTCATAGATGCGAGCTATTTGTGAAAGTACATCTCTTTTGGTGTAGTTGCAATCTGTGCTGGTGGTAACCTTATACGTAAATGAATCAGTTAAACTGTTCCAAAGCATTCCTAAAGTTTTGACCATTATTTCATCAGAATTTCGGTCAAGCGAGAATTCCTTAAAATCAGTTGATGATGCCTTGTTAGAGCACCATTTGTGCAAAGTCATACCTCCTCGTTGGAGCAGCTGTGTTAATTCTGATTTGAGTTTTTCGAATTCGCTAACTTCTGGAGCACCAGAGAGGCAGTCGTTCGTATAGAAATCTTGAAGTACTGCCTTAGACGCTATAGGAAAATCCTTCTGCTCATCTAGGGCAAGTTGTTGCAGAACCCTTGTAGCTAAGTATGGAGCTGATGCGGTTCCGTATGTTACAGTTCGCAACTCATAAACTTTAGTAGGCGCGTTTTTACTGTTCTTCCACATAATTCTTTGAAGCTTGGTTTGCGAAGGATTAACCTCAATCATCCTGAACATTTGTTTTATATCTGCTGTAAATGCATAAGCGTGTTTTCTAAATCTAATTAGGATCGAGAAGAGATCTTCTTGAAGTACTCCTCCCTTGCACAGTAAATCATTTAAAGAATATCCACTGGAAGTTTTCGAACTCGCGTTGAAAACTACACGAAGTTTAGTAGTTTTGTTTGATGGACGTAAGACACCGTGATGTGGTAGATAGTATCCGGTTTCGACATCTGAATTTTCCTTCACCTCTTCCATATGTGTAATAATTCATATTCGCTGAGGAAATATGAATAAAGCGTTTGCATGGCGAGATCGCGTTTTAAACGCGTCCATAACTGGTCTAGTCTCTTTGATGCGATTGTCTTAGAATTTCCTAACATTTCTTCGGAAAAATCAGGTTTGAATGGCCTTTCCACAACGTATCTACCATCTGGTTTCCTATAATGCGATTTAGCGAAATGTTCGTTGCAATACTTTAATTCATCGCTGCAAGTTTCGTTTGTTTCGATTTCTTCAATTTCCCAGAATCGTTTGAGAGTATTATTAAGAATGTCTAAGTTTTTAGTTAAAAAACAATGTTTAGGAGTGTTATAAAATTTATTGTCTGAAATAACACCTGAAACAAGATAGCCGAAACAACTTGATTGCAAGAATAAGTTGTCTGCCAGTTTTATTTTATCGTCATTCAATAATGAAAAGAACAATTCTGCGCCTAATAGAATGTCTATTTTTTGAGGAATAAAAAATGATGGATCAGCTAATTTAACTTCCCTGGGAATGTTTAAGTTCGAAACATTTAATTTTTTAGAAGGTGTGAAATTTGTTATATTGGGAACAATTAATAAATCTATTTCCCACTGCGAATCCTTATTTTCATTCGATAAAAAAGCAGATACTTTTTTCTTTATATTTAATGATGTATCATTCAAACCACAAATCGGAATGTTTATTTTTTCTTTTTTCAATCCCAAAAAGTCTGCAGCGGAGGAGGAGAGGAAAGAACTCTCGCTAGCTGAGTCAAGGACACCTCGTAAGGGTTTGAATTCTCCCCAAGCGTCTCTGACATATATTATTGCTGTGTTTATCAAAATGCTCTTATTTCCGTTACAGAAAAACGAAAGACGAGGGTTTTCTGGCACCTGCATATTAATTGATTCTGAATTGTTAATTTGTGGATTTCTTTCTCGAGAGAGAGTAGGCGTCGCGAGTCTGGTTTCACTTTGAATGTTATGACTAGTTGTCATGATTGACGGTGTAGAATATTCATGAAGCAATGTGTGATGATTTAATTTTTTCTTACACACAAAACAAGCACTTTTCGAATTGCATTGATTGAAAGGATGGAAATCGCTTAAACAATTATAACAGAGCTTATTTTTATTCACCAAATTTATTCGTTCTGATAATTTCATCCTTTTAAATTCATCACAATGATATAATGCATGTGATGGAGATTTACACGCGAAACATAATTTTTGAAATTTGTTCGATTTAACTAAAAAGGACTTCAATCGATCAGAATTAAATTTAGATGGGATGTTTGCATTAATACTATTTAATATTTGGTATCTTCTTTCTAAAAATTCTAAAAATGTGTCAAAATCAGGAACTTCATTATCTTCAAGAGTCAATTCAAATTGTTTACGAGTTTCGCGATCTAATTTATCCAGAATGATATTTAATAAAAAAACATTAGAAAGTTTGTCTCTATTGAAATCTAGTATTTTTAATGATCTAAGATTTTTCTTGATATTGTCCAAAACATTACCAAGTTCTCTGGCAGATTCTTGTTTAATAGGTTGGATTTTAAGTATGTTTTTGATGTGGCAATCAACCATAAGTCTTTATTTTCATATCGTTGTTCTAAGGCTTTATATAATGATTCAAAATTATCGTCTGACGTTTCTACTACCTTCGCTTCATCCCTTAAGGATCCTCGTAGGTAATGCAGTTTTTCGTTTTCCGAAAGTTCCGGATTCTCACTAATTAGGCTATTGAATTGCGTTTTGAACAAGTCCCATTCCTCGAATTTTTCGTTGAAGAAAGGAAGTGGGATTTTCGGGAGTTTAATTAACGCCTTTTTAGGCTGATCACTGATAATAGAATTATCAACACTTTGATTTTGCACTATGTCAATGTTTATAGTTTTTGATTTATTAATAGAGGTTTTGAGGCTTACCTCTAATTTTTGAATGTCGTCATCCACTTCGAAGAGAGAGGCCTCGACTTTCTGGAAATCTTCTTCCTCTGCGATTTTGTAGTAGTCATCTTTTAGCGATTCGAATTTCTGTTGGATGCTAAGCACAATATCCAATTGAGCCTGGAGCTCAGAAATGTCCATATTGTCTTGTCCTTCTGTGAGGACATTATTTAGTTTTGTAAGCTGGCTTTTTATGCTGCCACGCTTGTGGTTTAAGGCTATGATATTAGCCATATTTTAGCGATTTAGCGGAATGAATTTATGAAATTCAATCATTAGGCGTATTCCATAGGATGTGGATGACCTCCGGCTCGCTTAGGGCCAAAATGTGCGGAGGGGTGGCGTAAAAATGAAGAGAGCGTTTTGTAAAATAGGAGTGTTTAGTTCATAATTTTAATAATTACACTTATTGTAATATCATGTAATAATATACTACTTGTTTAGTTCATAAAACATTTCGCCGATAGATGGCAAATTTCAATGGAAAAACTTTAACTTTTATTAATACATTAAAAATATATTCTGTTTTAAGTTTGGCTTGCCGTTGAAATCGAGGCTAGCGATGGAATTCCTGTAACGGGAATCATTTTAAAAATTCAAAATAAATCGAATGAAAATAGCATACGTTATTGTCCCATTTCTTGGTATATAAATCGAATTCTTATTTTTCAGATAATTAACATTATTTTTTTAAATAGCAGCAAGAAATCTCAGGTAAGCCAATTTTGATATAATTTCAAAAACTTACCAATCGAAACAAGGAGTTTATTTGCGTTTCCCTTTCGGGAGTAGAGCGTAGACTGTAATGGCGTACAAACATAGACTGCCTGCCAAGATGGCGTATTTACAGTGTGCCAAGTGGAGATGCTCCGTCGCCAAGAGCGTAGCTTACAAATACGGAACACTGACAAACAGAAAATTATTAGAAAATTAAATATTAAACTAACTTATTAATAAGTAAGTGATTAACATTATACTTAAAATTTATTATAAGTAATTCTGGTTTTCCTACCAAATGAAAAATGTTATTTTTATTTTATATAATATTCAGTTAATTAGATGTACATGAATATACATCCATTTATTTTACTGGGTAATTACTAAAATTAGCTATAAAACACGGAAATAGTTTTTATTAACGACAAAAGTCACATTTCATGGAATTAATATTCATCTGGTATGTACTCCATAAATTTGTTCTCATAAAAGTTTATGTGAAGCAAAATAATAATTTTTTTTCTGCAACAATATTTTTGGCAACGAATTTGTGAATAAAGTTATTAAACTTAATACATTAAAACTATCTTAAAATCTTACCATATAAAGCTTCCCAATTTGCATATAAAGAAAAGTAAAATGGAACACTCAAATTTTTATGAGGGTTTTCCTTGAATACTAATGATATGCACATTTAAAAGAAAGTCTGATGAAGCAATTTTGCATTGAGCTATTGAGTAACAGTTTTGGTCGACTGCCAAGAGTTTTATGCAACGCTTTGGTATATTTAATGAACAAGAAACAAGCCGAACGAGTATTTTTAAATGCATATAAGAGACTAACTCATCCATGCCTGAAATTGAGTGTTCCCGGATGAGATAAGGCTTTTAAATATCAAATAAATTCAAAGATATAAATTTTCGTTTGCTTAAGTATAAAAGTAACGATATCAAATTCCTACTTCCCAACTTATTCTTATGTGTATAAAACAAAAGTGGGACAAAAATTGCAAAATTTCGTGATTTGAAATTCTCAATTTTATTTATGCCTTCTAGAAATCTCTTATTATATATTTTTCTTAACGATAGACAACTGTTTCGCAGTTTGAATTTTCATTCTAAAATTACAGTTAAATAGCCGTAAGCATTCTGTGTACCAAAATATCCATAAAATTTACAACTAGGAACATTTCTTTACATTAACGGAACTTCAACCGTTTACTACTGATATTGTTGTACTACCGAAAATACAAATCTATAAGGTTTTGTAACCATTTACTAATAGTATGATTTCAAAATCGCAAGAGTGAAATTCTACTGGACATTGGAGTTAAATTATGTTAGACTTTTCGTTAGGTAATGAACCTTGGAGTTAGGTTGTGGTTGCGTTATGTCATATGATCTGTAGAAAGGGGCTTAATTTGATTATATAGTGGGGCCATCAATCGTGAGAGAGGAGAAATAGACTTTTTTACATTAAGCAGCTCTGTGACGCTTCCATCTAGCCGTGAATGAGAACTTCCTACTCCGATTGTTCAGGGTCACCGATTGAGGAGGTTAACACACTGAAACTCTTCATGCATTGAAAGTAAGCATAAATTATTGTAGTCTGTTTCATTCGAGTTTATTTTGAATACTTTGAATGACATTCACATTTAAACGGAAGTCGATGACAACATTTTACATTGGGAGTCCAAGAGTTTTATGTAACGTCATTACCAAGCGTTTTATGTACCGTTGAATTGAGTGATCCCAGAAGAGATGTTTTTAAATACTAAGAAGTTCACAGACTTAAATTTTTTCTGCTTTAGTATACAAGTTTTGAGACTTATGCGTTTTATATTTATTTAATCATGTTGAAAAATGCTTCTTATTCGGATTTCAAATCTCAAAAGTGTTTGAACTCTCATATCTTCAATTGACATTAGAACAATTAAAAGGAAAATATCTTATTAAATCAAACTAGAGTTTATAAAGTTTTAAATCAGTATTATGATCCGTAATGATATCTCTTAATGTTTATTTTTTAATCCTTATAAGAAACGAAGACAAAATAGCATGCGCATTAGGGCAAATGAAATAATTCAATATTTAACTATAAAACAAACATTTATTAAGGCATAGAAATAAGTTAAATCGCTAGTGAAGGAGACAAAATACTTTAAAATCATTTTGATAGTCTTATAAAATTCACGTATGATTTCATTTCATTATTATTACCTTTCAACTCCTTTTTGTTTTAAACAAATTATTATGTTTTAAAAAATTATTATACAAAACTATGTATGTTTGTTTTAAACAAATTATTGTACAAAACTATGTATGTTTGTTTTAAACAA